TTCACGGTCAGGGCGGCTAGGGTCTGGAACCAGCTTCCAAGTGAGGTGGTGCAGGCTCCCACCCTGGGGGTTTTTAAGAGGAGGTTGGATGACCACCTTACTGGGGTCATTTGACCCCAGTGCTCTTCCTGCCATGGCAGGGGGTCGGACTAGATGATCTGCTGAGGTCCCTTCCGACCCTAGAAACTATGAAACTATAAATAGAATAGCATCAGCATATATAAGAAATATATTTTCTAATTCAGTAAATGTCTGTGAGGCTTTAATCTCAGAATCTAATAGGAACTGGGCTCCACAAAGTATTACCGTCAAGGTGAATGTCATTGTAACAGAGAAGTGTGGGTTTTGCAACCTCATGTCATCCCCTTGTCCCTTGCACGAGTTGGTTTGTTTTAGTAGCTGAAAAAATAATGCGAAATAAAGGAAAAATGAAACCATAAATTTTCTCCCCTGAGCCAGATCAGCAACATACAGCCTGCAGGCCAGAGCCAAATGGCAGAGCCATTGCATGTGGTGTGGGGAGCTGGAGGTCTTTGCCTGTGCCCATATCAGGGGTGGGTAGCAAGAAGTTGCACTGGGGCCAGGCAGCTTCCAGCAGTGCCTGCACTGCTGCTGCTTTTCCTTGCCCTTCTAGCTCTGTTATGACACAGGTGAGTGATTTCAGTGCTGCATCAGCACAGGGGGATTTTCCTGCACCCGTGGTGAAGCCAGGTAGCTAGGAAGATGGGCAGTAGTAGTAGCCAGGTAGAAGTGGCAGCCAGGCAGTTGGGAGTTGTGCCTTGACCACCAGTGCTTCTCCCAGTTCTCTGCTGCTGACTTGCCACTGAAGTCACCCAGCCTGCACTGGGCCAGAGCCAGGTTGTTCTGACCTGGAGCTTATAAAAGGTTTCTGGCCCCTATCCTAATCAGTAGGACAGAAAAATCATACTCTTCAGAATAACTGGAGTTGAGAGGAAGAAACAGGAGTATAACGTTGTTGTTGTTGTTTTTAAATAGTACCATACGTACTTGGGGAGAGGGGGATAGGTTGCAACCAGACTCTCCTAGTGTAAGACACAGCTATTCAGGCTAAAAAAAATTTTTGGTTGTTTTTTTCCCCCCCAAGTATAGCTTATTTGAATTCAGCAAACAAAAAAAAACTATACCAACAAAAGCACTTTTGTCAATAAAACTCCATATACAGTAGAGCCACTGAGGACATAGATTTGTAAAAAAAAAACAAAAATAGCCCTAAATGACCTATCTGTGTTGAGAGAACTTTTAAGTGTAGACCTGGTCTTATTTTAGTTTGGCTTTAGTTACTGATTTGTTACAAATTGAAATGAAATTGAAATTAGTACTCAGAGAGGAGTTTCTACTGAATTAACTAAAACAGTGCAAGTTTATACACAAGGGCTTTAATTCCTATGGTTCAATAAATTTTAGTAATTAAGCTCCTCCCTGTTGAATATGTAATTCTCAAAATAGTTTCTCACATACTTTATTTAGCAAGCCAGTGTAGAAAGAAAGAAATATGCTTCTCAGAATGATTTCTCAGCTTAGTCTGAGTCCTTTACTTGAAAGGATATCGTAAAGTATTTTTTATTAATGTTAGATGTTTGTTTCCACAAGTAGCAATAGAAGTAGATAACTGTTTTAAAGTTCTGTTTTAAGAACTGTCCTGATATATTATAAAATGTTGTGGCCATTATTTTCTAAATGGCAAAGGAAGCCCTACATGGGCAAAACTTGATTCAGCAAGGAGCAGCAAAGGTTTTCATTGAATGCCCAAAGCCTTCACCTAGCACAGTTATGCCTATTGCCCTTCCTGTATCTGGAAAGTGGCTACATTTATATCCATGAAAACCAAAAAGTACAATGTAACCTTCATTCTGCATCTTGGAACTGGTAAGGGTCACTGGGAATTGTTCAGGAATGGGGAATATCACAATAAGTATTCTTAAAAATATTGGTATATTCTTTTAGGTCATGGGCCAGAGTTTTGAATCCCACTGTTTATATCCATGTACTTTCAGTGCCTTCATTGTATTGGGTGTAGCTATAAGGGGTGATGAAGAGGTTAACTGAAGCAGTTTAGCAAAGCTGTTGCAGTACTATAACAGGAGGTACACATATAATATGAAGGATCAAGAATACCTCAGTTCAGTAGTGATTTTGTGGATTATGTTCACCGAAGTGCACAAAGGTGTCTTTTTGCCATAGACATTTTCAGCAGGCTCATGTCAGTGGCCTCCAGGGTATTGAGTGGGAAGGAATTGTCTCAGAAGGCATCCATAGGCCATTGTTCCCAAAATTTTGATACCCGGGGCACACTTTTTTCGGGATTAAAATTGGTGGCACACTTTCCTGTTATATCCAAAAAGGGTGTGTGTGTGGGGGGGGGTGTTCTAAAACATATTCTGTTCCCTTGCCAGAGGAAATTGTACCTGTGCTGAGATGTAATGCTAAAAAATAATCTTTATACCAGTAGTTCTCAACCTTTTTTAGCTTCAAGTTACTCTTCCATAACTTTTCTGAATTTTGTAGCACCCTAGTTGAAAATCAGCGAGACAGATCTAAATTTTAAAAAGATATGGTGGGGGATGGGGGGAGGGTCTTGAGGTTAAAGATGGTGAGAATCATTGATCTAACTGGTGCCACTTAAAGGCAGTGATAGCAGGTCCTAACCCTGCTGTGCCCTTCTCCACTGTCTGCCCCTTCCTGACCCCTGGTGTATACCTTAGGGAGTAAGAGCAGCTCTCGCTGCTGAAGCTTCTCCTGCAGGTTCTCACATACCAGGGACCAAAAAGGGAGTTGGTGTTGCCTGTTATGAGAGAATGAAGTGAAGTGCAGGAAGGCAGTTGGGTAGATGAGCTAGCTGAGTACAAAGTCTAAATTGTGACATTTGAAACCATGTCAGAATTGCAGTGGTTCTTTTGCCTCTATCAGAGTAGGACTAAACATGACACAGTTCCAAAAAACAATTTGCAGTTTATTAAGTTGGAGCTTCCCAGCTCTACTTTGTTTCAACCATTCATGTGTCTGTATTGAGATTAGTACAATCTGCAGCAATAACTCTGAGCTGTGTAAACTGTTCCTTCCCTCAGTTTGTGTTCCCGTTTCCACCAGAGGTGGCAATTATCCCCACTCATGTACGGGGGAAGAGAGGCAGAGAGATGAGGCAGCTTGCTGTGATGCTGACTGTCACACAGGAGGAGGAGAAATCCTTAGTTCTCCCACTGTTCCACCTACCTGCCCCTACTTTCCCCTCTTATCTTTTTTCCCTTCCTGTGTTCCCCTTTCCTTCACTGTACCTCCAGATCCAACCTACACATGCCCCCCTGCACTGCTTGAATATGCCTTAAGTAACCTTTCAGTTTGCCATTACCCTCCATTCCTTCACTCTGCACCAAACAAAAGCTTATGAAACAGCTTATGTCATAAGGCTGTGTATTGGAACTCCCTTGAACACATGACTCAGTACCTTGTTTTTCTGTTGATCATGCCAGGAGATATGATTTTGCTGTCCTTTCATCTTCCCTCTATTTGCATGTGGATTTTAGAGCACTTCAAAATATTGTTTATTGTAAGAGTTTTGATAGTGGGGCAGAACTTCGAACATATGCAGAGGCTGCCAGTAGTGTGAAATACATCAGTGCACCATTCACTGATCACTGTGTACCAGACTGTCAGAAAACTCTGTCCATTAATATAAAGCTACTGTTGCTTGTGTTCGTCTGTTTAGATCTGTAGTTAGCACAAGCTGACATTTAGGGCTATACTAATTTCAGTGCTGCTTGTCTGAAGCAGGGGGCAACTGGCTTCAGTTAAAGTAAATGCAAGCCATTGTTCGGTGATGATGGGAGACGCATTTTTAGCCACAGATTTGCATGGAATGGGATAAGAACCGAAGTGCCGTTTGTTTAGGTAGACTATCTTAACCTTTTGCTCAAATGACTCCAGATTTATGCCTTTAATGCTGTACCGTCTGTACCTTTAAGCCTGTGCATAGTAGATTCTCATGTTACTTAGAATACTTGCTTTTAAACAGAAAACACTGCTCAATCTTGACTGTAGCAGAAGTACAGCTTGTCTATAATTAGTTTTTTTTGTGTGCTGGACTGTACCGTAAGCACTTTGAAACAGGAAAGTGAAATGCATGTTGTTAGAGAAAGTGTCAGTTGAGATCTAGACCAGTGGTCTCAATTTTTTTTGATTCGAGATCCCCCTTAGAAAATGCCACTTCATAGTTTTCACGTTTCTTGTCTACAGAAAATAACAGCAGAGTTCTCTTTTTGCAAAGAACTCAAAAAGACCACAACAAATCAAAATGGTTTTGACACTACAGACTCCTGTTTGAAATGTCTAGGTTTATTTTGTAAATTGTGTGTAGGTGTGTGCTTATCTAGTATTGAATGGCACTTTATGATACCTTTAAAAGTATCTCATGGCACAGTGGTTGAGAATCACTGATCTAGAACTTAATTGGACCTAGTAGTGTTGAAAATGCATACTTTCTTGTCTCTGTGCTAGACTTCTAGAACAGTGTTAGAGTGTAGTAAGTAAAACATGCTAAAGCATACTTTTTAGATTCTAGTTTCAACAGGACCTTGAAAGTGTGCTGTTAAAAGGCATTAACTAACCTATTCTGTGTGAAAGTGAAGAACTGTTAGAACTAGGTTAAAAAAACATTTTTTATTAAATAATTCTTGAACTTTTTCATTAAATAATTCTTAAACTTTGAAAGCTCATTAGTCTTGTGTATAGTAACTATTTATTTTTCACAACTCTTATGTAAGAATTCTATTCTATTAGAATAAGAATATTAAAATAATGTAAAATGCTTGTCAAAATAGACTACTAAACAAGAAACATTTTTGAGAGTTACAAATTGCTTGTGGGTTACAAATTGTTCTTGGTTCTGCTTCTTGTCACAGGAAAAAATAGAGGAGAAAGGGGAGCTTTTAGGTAAAATGTGCATAATTTGAAACACTACTGTAACATGACTCTTCATGTGCAAAAAATGTCATTTGCTTGCCTTCCATATGAGTGGGGAAAGTAGATTGCTGTTGAGTCCTCTTATCGCAACGCACCATCCTCTTGATATTGAAAACTTGGCGTATGTGTGAATGAGAGGTGGTTTGGGCACGCTGTTTATTCACATGCCATGAGATGGCATACTTTATGGAAAAGGCTAAATACTATTACAAGAGGAGTGCAAAAATAGTTACGTAGAGCCATGTGCATCAGCAGTATTTTATTATACTGAACAACATATACAACAGAAGACTAGATTTATTAAATCCCAGTTCTGAATCTATTTCTTTCCCTCTTCCATGCATCCCATATCTAAAATTATGCATTATAGATACAAACCTATGTACCCTTAGAAATTATTTCAACAACGTGAGAGGAACAACAGTTTAGGAAGCACACTACTACAGGAGGATTTTTTTTTTTAAAGGAATACTAGTAGATCAAGCAGGAGCATGCAGAGAATGGGTACAGATTGTCTGACAAACTGTTCTTGAGTATGTATGCTGTCTTTTGAACAAAATGCAATGGTATTAATGTTACTTGGTCTGAACGGTTAGCCAGTCATCAGGGCCTTGGTGGTTTGTTTGTAGGAGTCAAGTATTTCTTTGGTGCAGTCTTTCTTTATTCACAAGGAGTTACACCATTCTGTTTCTTTGAACATGATAGGAAGAAATGCCAGGTAATTTTCTTCCTCGGGATTTTCAAATCTTCATTTTCCAGCAAGTCCTCGTCCCCAAAGAACTCCATCTCAGCTCTCTCTGAGTTGCACCCTTCTTGCCTTTATTGCTACCTGCTAATTTTTCTAGTTAGTTCTTCAGTTGGACACAAAAATACACAAACCTGCAGTCAGTCAATGTCTCAGCCATTTTTTTTGAAGTATTCCCCAATAAACTCTTTTCCCTGATTGCTCAGTTCATGTTTAGGCTCTGCCATTTTGGCCTATACCATGGGCTTCCATTTTTACCCAATAAAAGGGCATTTCATTGTTCCATTTATTATGAATTGGGGATGCTAGAACCCCATCAGTTTCATTAGGTCTGTGCCTGATGACCACAATCTGTCTTTCAGCATAACAGTACTAAATAAGACTTCTTTTTACTAGATTCCAGAATTTGACAACTTGTACCTGGACATGAACGGTATCATCCATCAGTGTTCACACCCTAATGATGATGATGTTCACTTCAGAATTTCAGATGATAAGATCTTTGCTGATATTTTTCACTACTTGGAAGTATTATTTCGTATTATTAAGCCAAGAAAGATTTTCTTTATGGCAGTCGATGGAGTGGCTCCAAGAGCAAAAATGAACCAGCAGCGTGGGAGACGTTTTAGGTAAAATCATTTTTTTCTTTTCTTGTCAAAATATTTATCATGGTTTACTTTTTATTCTCCAAGTTGAAATAGGTGTAAAATATGTAGTGTTAAGATATCCTTCTTTATGTATTAACATTAGTTTTTATATAAATAATGGTAAGTACCATTTTTGGATCAATCTTTAAAATCAGTATTGAGGGGGGTTTATGTTCAGCACATTAGAATATTTTGTGAACATCCGCAAGTATTTTTGTGCTCCTTGCTTGAAATGACTTTATGTTGGAGCATGTAACAGCCAGTGTAGAGGGAGAAAAAAGGCAGACTTATTTTTGACAGACATTGGCTAAATGTTACTAGTTTACTAAATTTACTATATAGTATGCATCCAAATTGCATATGATAAGTACAGTTAGAATCTTAGTGTTTAATACTTAGAGGCCATTTGGAGACTGTTAAGAGGAACCGACAACCAGTTCCTGGGACAGTTGGGGAAACTGAGACACACAGGTTGGAACAAGGAATGAGAGAAAATGCTCAGGCATGTGGGAAAAAGGAGGGGAGAAAAAGGTTAGGAAAAAAAGCTGAAATGTTTTAAAGCAAAATACATGGAAACATTTAAATAAAAATACAATGCATTTATTTAGGTCAGCAAAAGAGGCAGAGGACAAAATTAAAAAGGCTTTAGATAAAGGAGAAACTCTCCCAACAGAAGCCAGATTTGACTCGAACTGTATTACACCAGGTAAGAGAACTTGCTTATTACTTTAAGGTAAAGTGCTTTGATAGATGCCTATAATCAACGATTGTTTCCTTCTTTCATTTTGTATACCTGATATATTTTATCCTTCATGCTATTTTGGCTTCAGTTGAAATTAAAAGGTGAGAGTTATGAAAGTCTCAAGTATGTTAGGAACACAAGTCTAGATGTCTTTCAATAGGATTTATATTCCTAAATCACTTGGGTATTTTTAAGTTTCACACAAAATTATTATTTAAAAACCCTCTTGAAAACTGCAGAAATCAATACTCTTCTGCACTCAAAAACAATTTTTTGGTATTCTGTTTGTAACTTCCCCACCATAGGCATTAATTATAATTGGATATTTGAATGTTAAAATGTTGGAAAGTTAACTTTTAGATTTTTGTTACTAGGCACTGATTTCATGGCGAGGTTGCACGAACATCTGAAGTATTTTGTAAATATGAAGATTTCCACAGACAAATCCTGGCAAGGCGTAACTGTCTACTTATCAGGCCATGAGGTTATTTTGCTTAGATTAATGATTTTTAAAAATAAGTCTGTATTTTGCAGATTAGTGTTTACTGATTTGTTTGGTCTTTGCATTTAGACTCCAGGTGAAGGAGAACATAAAATTATGGAATTTATCAGATCAGAGAAAACAAAGCCTGATCATGATCCAAACACGAGACACTGTCTTTATGGCTTAGATGCTGACTTGGTATGTGTAATTAAAATAATATATTTAGAATAACAAAATGTTGTTATGCCAGTAATTTGGGCATCTATTTCATGTTTTGTGGATACAAATAATTATCAAACATTATTAAATAAATTAATAACTTTGTTTTTATGTCAAATGAAAAATTCACAGTGAAAAGGAGCAACAGAGAATGGACACTTCCAGGCAATGGTCACATCTTGAATAATAGCATTTTTTTTTTAAACGTAATATCTTGTTTCAACAGATTATGCTTGGATTAACAAGTCATGAGGCACATTTCTCTCTCTTAAGAGAAGAGGTCAGGTTTGGTGGCAAAAAATCTCAGAGGTAAATGGCATTTTAAAACCTTTCTCCATTTCAAAGGGTGAAAACAAATCTAAAAGATCAGGTTTGCTTAGAATATGTCCTTACATCTACTGCCTGTTTAGTTATTCTCACTTTTTTCATTTTTTATAAAATGGGGTTTGAATCAGTAAAGAAGTTGATGCATGCTGTATGTGGAAACCAACATTGTCTCAACAGGCTGAAGATCTTAAAACCTGTATTATACCACGTTGTATATCTCTCTATGCCAAAAGCCAGCCAGTTCATTAGGCTGCTACTGTTTTCCATAATTGCATTCGTATTTTCCTCAGTTTACTCACTTAACGAGACATAAATGCCTCATAGGGTTTACCTAGATGGGGAAGCTGACCAGAATAACTGTTACAGATCCAGATATGCCACAAGAATTATTCCAAGATTAGCACCCTGTTTGGATTCCCAATCCAAACTCCAATTCACATCTTAGTTATTTGGGATATAACCACTTTTATCCCAGAATAAGGGAATCCACACAGGGTGCTATCTTGGAATAATTCTTATGGCATATCTGGGTCTGTAATAGCTATTCTGGTCAGCTTTCCCATGTAGGCAAACCCTAAGAGTCATTTGTTTTATGGAAAACAGTAGCAGCACAATGAGCTGTCTGGAGCTTATATGGCGAACTGTCCAGAATAATTATAGCAAAATAAAATGCTCCCCAGTATATGTTCCAAAACGGCTCCCTGTTTGGACACAGTTTATTCTGAATTTATTATCATCTGCAATTTTATAGTTGGCACTTGTTCCAGAAAAAAAAAGTTCACATAGAGAACTGTTGTGGAATAGAAATTGTGGTATATCTTATTCTGAAATACTTTGGCCAGTGTTCCAAGTTAAATAAGCTGTAAGTGTCCTTTGTGGAAGTAAGGAAAAAATGAGAGAGCATCATTTTATATACAGGCAAGTTGTTGGATAATATGATAATGAGAGCAATTATAAGCACCTAGATTCATACATAGTTATTGCTGATATGCTTCTGTCCTCTAGGTGGGCAGACAACATATATTTTCCTGCAGTGTTATAGTTTTGTTACACCTTTGAACATTTTTCGCTTGGATGGGACAGACCTAACATGATTAGTTTATGTTGTTGGTATATTAAACTATAAGAGTATTGTTTTAAGTGAATAAACTTAAAACCGAAAAAAAAGAAAGGTTCTCTTGTCCACATTTGAATAATTAACAAATGCAAGAAACTTTCTGACTGCTTTGGACCCAATTATTAAAAGATTTACTCAGTTCCTTTCTGGATTAGGTAAAATGAAATTTCAGGCCCAAAAGTGTTACTGGTACTGTGTTCCTTAAGGTAAAAAATGGCTTACCTTGACAAGTTCTTTGCTTTTCCAGAGCCCATTTTCTCTGCTTGCCCTGCTGAAAAATCTGGAAATAATTGCTCATGATTTAGAAGACTTTCTAATGAATTATTGTTTAAGGCTTCCGTTAAAATATCCAGTTGCTTTCCATCCTAAATATGCACAAGTATTTATAGCTGAAACAAGTCAAACATTAAAATTTTAATTGAAAGCACCAACTAAAATCTGCCTCAGCAGTGTTTTGGCTAAGGTAGTTATTTGACCATGGGAGTTCAACTTCTGAGGTAAGTGTCAAAATGAAGGCCAGAAGGTACCCTAAATGAATTTGCTTGTACCTAGAAGAATTCTCAGTTGTTAACTCCAGAATTAAGTGTACCCAGTGTAAGTGGACAGGATGAGACTCTAGGCATCATTCAACGCCTTCAATTCCCTTTAACATAGAATTTAGGTGGAACATAGTGCTTAGTTTGTCACTCTTACCATCATGTTGGGTTTCATTTGAAAATCTCAATTAATACAAGTTATAGCCCTTCACTAATATTAGCTGATTAATCTTAACAGCACTATAACCTGCATAATTACCATCCACATTTAATTTGAAGGAGGTTGAGAGAGAAATTATACTGACTCGGCCAAATCCACAGAGAGGTTAATGAATTACCAGTTATAGTATCTGTGCTTAAACCAGTAAAGCAGGGATGTCAAACAGGGCCCCAGGGGCTGGATCTCACCCACAGAGCCATTGTCTCTGACCCTTGGGCTCCTAGTGGGCCTGGTAATTCGGGGACAAGGCAAATAGCTGATGGTGACTACCATAGAATTCAGAGCTCCAGAGTCCCATTGGGGATGGCCATTGGTGGCAGAGGGCTGAGTGACATCTGTGCTGACAGTGCTGTTTGCCCCACTGCTTGCACCCCACAGTCTGGATACAGTCTGGCCAGAGGGGTGGGTTGAGTTTGACACACTTGCAATAGAGTATATTCCTACTGAAAAGTTATCACGTCAGTTTTTTGGCTACATACTTAATAAATATATATCTATCTATCTACCTATGTATCTTGTGTTGCTGTAGTTGTACTGCTGTCTACCTGGGCACTATTTTATCTATTTTAAAGGTATGTGTATACAAGCTGCAGTCACAGGTTTAACTGCTGCATTGACTTGCTCTCAGACTGTGCTTGAAACACTTTCATAGTAACTGATAAGGGGAAATTGGATATTAAAAACAGATTCTTTGTAAACAAATAAAGACAGATATCATGTCTAACCAATAGTTAAGACTTCACTTCTTCAGCAACAGATGAGTGTTTATTTGTGAAGAAATGTGAAACATTACTGTATATACGCATCAAGTGTTTATAGATAGTTGACTTCCTGTTTTGACTCACTTACAGAGCATGTGCACCAGAAGAAACTACGTTTCACTTACTACACTTGTCATTAATGAGAGAATATATTGACTATGAGTTTTCACCAGTCAAAGTAAGCATTAATGGAGCTATAAGCAAAAGATATAGTAAACCTTTGTATGCAAGCTTGATCATAAAATCTTTTTATCTTTCCTCTTTCCTATCATCTTCCTCAGGACAAGATTTCCTTTGAATTTAACATTGAAAGGATAATAGATGATTGGATTCTAATGGGATTTCTTGTAGGCAATGACTTTATCCCTCATCTACCTCATTTGCATATTAATCACGATGCACTGCCTCTGCTTTATAGAACTTATATGGCTATTTTGCCAGAACTTGGAGGTAAGTAGTTTAGGAAAGTACTTAGATAAATGCTTATGGTTTCGGAAAATAAATAGAAGGCAAAGTTAAACTGAAGTGTTGCCTCTGTCTTCCTGCCAGTGTTATAGTAGTGTTTCTTAGTCTTTGCTGAAGTGTGGTCTTCATCGATTTCTTTTTAACTCACTACTTAGATTTTAGCACTTTTACAAAGAATTAGGCTTTGCTTTTACAGGTCTAGCGTTAATAATTAACATCTAGGTAAGTGAAAGGAAGGAGCATAACATGGATGTTTCTTTTTACTTCCTTACTGAAAAATTTAGAGCTAACAAAACTTCTCACTTGCCCCAAAATGCTTTTTCATAAATCAGTTTTATTACTGATGGGTAATCTTGTAATAATAAGATATAAGGTGAGAGCTACATTTTATTTTTTCAGGGGGCTCTCCCTGGATGAAGCCTCTCCATAAGCTGTATCTTATTCAGCATATAGGATTAATAAAGTGCTAGTAAATATATGAAATTTACGTGGAAGGTACTATATCCTAACTGTGTTGGGTGAATTATTTGAGTTCTAATGTTTTCCAGCTATTACAGAGATAGAAAAGGTATAACAGAATTCTCAGGACGGTGGGTGGAGAAAAGTGGGTGGACTAGTGGGGGACATGGAAGAGCTTTCTGAGACTTTTAGTGAGTTCAGAACGTTAAATTAATATTTGATTTTTATCCCAATAGGTTACATCAATGAAAATGGGCATCTAAACTTAAAACGCTTTCAGAAATATCTTACCAAATTGTCAGATGTAAGTAATATTTTATTTGTATTATCTATACATTATAGAGTTGCCAATCACCATACCATCAGGGAACATTACAGTTGGGGAAAAAACCCCAATTAGAATACAGTTTTCACTAGAGATGCACCAGTACATCAGTCCCATATTGGATTGGCACAGATCTAAGAAAAATTGACCTTTTTTTGGCTAATGTGGTGGCTAATGCCACTGATAAATGCCCTGTGTATGCGCACAGCTGCAGCACAGCATGCAGGCAGCCAGGAGTGCAGTCCGGCAGCATGGAGAGAAGCTGGTTCCGGCTGGTAAGTCTGTTGTGAGGGAAAGGGCATGGGGGATAGATCGAAGCCCCAGCAGTGAGGGAGGGAGTGGGGCAGGGGCAGGCGCTACACAGCCAGGGCAGAGCGCAGGATGGATCCGCAAGCAGCTCTTCCAGGGGGGGCAAGAGTGGCTTCTGCCGCTGCATGCATCCTGGGAGGACATGAGGGGGGTGTGCCCCTGGATCTGTACACAGGGCAGGGTGGGCTGCCTCTGTGGGCTGGGGCAGTGCCAGACTCTTCCCGGTAGGGGGCTGGGCCAGGCTGTGCTCCAGGTGGGTATTGGCAGTGCTGGGAACAGAGGTTTTGGTGGGGGGGGGTACAGCAAATTTTGGGGTGGCTGCAGTCCCACCTGTAGCCCCCTCCCAGCACCGCCACCACCCACCCTGAGCACAACCCTGGCCCAGTCCCCTGCTGGGAAGAACTCAGCACTGCTCTGGCCCTAGTCCACAGTGACAGCCCAGGCTCACCACACGAGCAGATCCAGGGGCCCGTGCCCTCCCAGGGTGCATGCAGCAGTGGGAGTTGCCACCCTCTCCCCGTGCCACTGAAGGAGCTGCTCATGGCTCCATCTCATGCTCCACCCCAGCTGTGTTTAGTGCCTGTCCCTGCCCCAGCCCCACTGCCTCCCTCACCATGGGGACCTTGATCTGCCCCTTCCCCCACAACAGACTTACCAGCCAGACACTGCTCTTCAGGTTGCCCATCTGCATGTCAGAATAGGGTTGGTATCAGCCAATATGGCTCATTAAAAATAGGCCATTGGTATTGGCTCAGTAATTTTCTATCAGTGCATCTCTAGTTTTCACAGATACTCGGGTTCTTATTTTGTGAACAAAAGCTCCACTGAATTCATACATGGAATTGCTTTCCTGCCATGTAAAAGATTGTTGTGGAGCTCTGACATTTGGCACAAGCTGAGAATCTTTCCTGTAACAATTTATGCCTGCTGATTATCTGTTCCTCAGTTCTTATATAAAATGTCCCTATAGTCTTCCACAGTAAGCACACCATATACTGTGCCTAAAATCTACCATAATGTAGCTCTGAGGAAATATGAGATGCAGTAGGTAATGAGATCTGTAATTCCAGTTGTAATTTTGTCTCAAGATCCAGTCAATTGCTATCTAATCTTATTGTCCTAACAGATTTTGGGGGAAGAATCAGAAATTTAAGTAACTGACTTTAGATTGTATCCAGTACTTTGTATTGCAGCTAAAACCAAATCATGATTCAGTGTAGAAAGTATTTAAACATCAGGTTCTCATGGGGACAGTCTGCACCTAATTCTATCCCAGTGGTTTTTCATGGACAACCTCATTATAGTAACTTGTAGTAATCCATTCCAGAGGTTACAAAAGCCACAATCTGCTGGTGAACCTTAACTAGAAAAAAAGTGTCAGCTACTACTTCTGCCTTCTGATATTGAAACAGGGATGAACTTTAGAAATTATATGTACATTTGTGTGTTAGTACCTTGCCTGAGAACAATGGTATGCCATAATTTTATATCCATTTGTAGTAGGCTGGATAATTCGATTAGAATATCATCCAATTTTCTTAAAACTTGCTCAAATTTAAAAAAAATAGTAAGTTTCTGGTATGAATGATCTGTCTGTTTATAAGAAGAGGTTGTGTGTTAAACTGTTGGACTGTCCATAGCTCTTAAATCAACAGATGCATTAGATTACATATGGGGTTATCTGTAACTCTTAAAGATGACAAAACTGGTTTGTATTTTCTATTCCATAATTTTCTTCTTTTATTCAGAAATATGATAGCCACTGCCTTTAAAATAAGTCTTTGAAGTTTACTTTAATCTGTACACAGTTTGATCGTGAACACTTCAGTGAAGTCTTTGTAGACCTAAAGTGGTTTGAAAGCAAAGTAGGCAATAAATATCTCAATGAGGCAGCTGGAGTTGCAGCAGAAGAAGCAAGAAACAGTAAGCAAAAGAAACAGAAGGTTGGTGGTTTTAATGTAGAAAAACTGTCCTTGACTCATTGAAGTGTATAGTTATAGCATTTGTATGGTTGTCTTAATGTTTGAACTTAGTTTTTATTTTTGAGTTTTCCTGGAATCAGAAATGACAGAAAAACAATAGTTGAGGGATTGCTGGGGGAGTCTTCCCATCAAGTACTATGGAACATAAATTATTAGGTGACCACCAGAAGATGCGTCTGTTGGATATCAACAAGGAAGCTGAGTAAACATCTCATGTCACATGTTAATTCTCAGTGATTACCCACTTCAGAGATTGCATAGGTGAAGAACACTTAAGTTAATCACTACTCTTCTAAGACAGTTTTGGCTATAATATAAAGGTATATCAAAACTACATTATATCAAACACTACAATGCATATAAATGAAAGAACAATAAGGATGACTCAGTTTGATGATTCCTATATGTAGAGACTACACATGCCATATCAGTAAAACAAACTCAAACTCAAAAAAACATGTAGGACATGACACAAATGCCCAGACTAGAGTAGTGTTCATGACATGGAAAACTAGGATGAGTACCATAAATGGGGGAAAAAAAATAGAACACAGGGTGATGATGGTTCTATGACCCCCACAAAGAGAGTTGCTTCCGTCCCTCCACTTTTCACTTCAGTTTTTGAACTCTGTTAAAAAATGTTGCTGAATATTAGAAAAATGCCCTTATGAAATACATAAAACATTTAATGGTGGATTACCATTTTTTCAGACATATTTAATTAAATGATTTCTAAAAGTCTTTTTTTCCCCAATAGTTCTCTTTTTAAGGACTCATGTGTTTATAAGTTTGGAAGGGGAGGAGGGGGGTTGTGCCAGGTAGTTGTAGAGAAAGAAATGCAATTCTTGAGATTTGTTTTAAGATTTAACAGTTGGGTTTACTTCAGTAGGTTTATTTTAGCTGTTTGACATTGCATGTAAAATATGGACTTACATGGCAATATATGTGTTCATATTTCTTTATCTCAAGTACAAATTTGTAATTTTAATAGGCTCAGGAAAACTCCATATGTTTGGCTGCTTTAGAAAAAACTGAGGATGTCATCACAGGTACTTGTAAAAGTAAGTGTAAAGTAGTCTTCTGTGTGCATACAGCAGTATTACACTTAATTTTAACTGTGGCTGAGAGTGAGATTGATACAGTGAGACCAACTCCAGTTACAACTGAAAAGCTTTATTAGGGTATGCAATAGCAAAGATATATTTAATTCAGTGAAGACAGCGTTTACATAGCCTCAGATTCAGGGTGGAAAACAGGTCCGTTGGCCAGGCTTCTCTGTTCTGCTGGGGACTTTAGTTGGTTTGCTGAGCCTTGGAGAAGTCCAGAAGTAGAAGCCCGAATTTCCCTCTGGCCTATGCCCAGTATTTTTAGAATGGCTAGTCCCGACATTCTAATGAATGATTTCTGCTTGATTTTATTTGATTTTTCTGTTTGTTTTTGTTTCTGTTTAACTGAAACATTCAGAACCAGATTTAACTAGATTTTTGCAGACTTGGAAGGTATTTATTATTTGAGACTTGCATCCTTGGGAAAGCTAGGAGATTCCTTATTTCTTTTTCCTTTCCTTTGTAGAATGCTGTTAACATTGGTCTGTTACCTCTTCATTTTATTTTATGGTTTGACAAGGATGCTTTGTTTTTACAACTTATTTAAGCATTTTAACAAAAATACATTTTTATAGTAAAATAAAATTCAAAACATTTGATTACAGCAGTTAGTACTTTTAATTATTTTAAGATGAAGCTACAATACCTAGTATTTGGATTATTTGATTTATGATTCTTCCTTTATAGTGTTTCTTTCTCGGCTTTGTGTTCTGTTTGATTGTGCCTAATTAAACACATGACTGGCTTGCTTTTTGCTTTGCTGGCCAGGCTGTTGCATCTGCGAAGGTTCGTTCTATGTTCACTTAGGCAGAGCCTTCTGGGGGCCTTTGTTCCTTGGCTGGATTTTTCACAGCTTATGCCTAAGCCTCTTGAAAGTAAACAAGACTGGCAACAGCACATAGCATTGCCTTACAGTACAACTCTGCTGATCTGTACAAATATTTGGAAGAACTATGTGAATTGTTAAGCAGGTGAATTAAATGCAAGTTAAAAGTATAATTAATGTTTTGGATTGTAATTTATATTTAGTGAGTTTGGACAAATTAATGGGGCTCAGTGTTTGTTTGTAGGTGTTGCTTTTTAAAATCTATCCAGAGCACCTATGTAGGATACATTTTTACTTCTAATGCAAGATGTATTGGGACTTGTTATAAAACAGTGAATTAGGAATCATAGAAATTTTTACTAAGGCTTTGCCAAATTTGTGTGCAAATTTAAGGTATACAAAATAGGAGGTCCTTGCACAATATTCTAATAGCGTTTATCCTGTTTTGTTCTGCTCTTGTAAGCAACAGATTGCACATCCTTTAAATTGTAGCACCATATCCAGACGCACAAACTAGTACATTTTGGGACTCATTGGTATATAGTTTAATGTTTCTTCTCTACAGGAAAAGATGAAGGTTTCTCCTCAGCTGTATAATTCATTAATATAGTTGCAGTACCAATATCAGGACAGCCTAAGTACAGACGTTTGGGGAGGTTAAATCAGGTTAAAAATGGCTGCCCGATTTAAACTTGGCTTGCCCGGTGCTGACCTTACACTTACAGACCCAACCTCAGTGATCAGCAACCAGTTTAAACCTGTAACTGTACAGGAGTTCCATGCACACAAACCTGTCTAAAAATTGCAGAACTCAGTTTAAGATAAACCTGGATCTGTGTAGTATCAAACCTGTTCAATTTATGTCAAACCAATACATGGAACTTTTGTCAACTTTCCCCAGCCCTAGGGCTGCTCTCTTCTCCCCCCACCCCTTCGCTGGTCTGGTTTTTGCCCTCCCCCCC